GCCTCAAGGAACTCGGGCGGTGGTGGGAGGGGGCCTGGCCTGTTTCTACCAGTCAGGCATCGGCATCGGCCTTGGCCTTCAGGGCTCCTCCCACACATCTCCATGTGAGGTGACTCCCTTTGACCAAGGACCGCCCTCTGGAGAAGGATGCAGCTGTGAGGCCACTCTGCAGCAGCTGGGGGTGGCAGCACCTCCGGGTAGGGGAGAGGGGCTCAGGGCGCCCGCGCAGCTGCTGCTTCTCCCAACTGCCTGCCTCCATCTCCTCCGCTCTCGGGTCCTGTTGGGGTAACCTCCTCAGAGCTACCCTCCAGTGTGCTGATAACGGTTTCCACTATTCTGACATGCTTGTCATCTTCCCCACTGATTTTTTAATTTTAATGACCATACTCTGTATGTCTGAAAGTTTATTTGTTTTTTGAAAAGTTCACCTAGTCTTTTTCCTGGTGTCTTCTGTTCTGTTACTCATTCAATTCTTCCCTGACTTCCTGAGTTCCTCCTGACGTGAGTGGTGGACACTGTGTTACCTCCACTTCTTGGGTGGAATGTGACCCTGTTCCTCGCCCCCCTGCGGACTCTCACCCATGGCGAGCTGCTTCCTTCAGGCCTTACGGCTGCAGGGTGCGAGCTCGTTTTGAGCGCCCGGTCTGTGCGCATCCTCGCCCCCTGCCTCTGCAGCCTTCTCCTGGCCAAGGCTTTTCTGCCTGGGCTTCTCAGGCCTCCCCCCTCCCCGGCCTGAGAAGAGGGCCCCTGGCCTGGGCTCGTGCCCCCGGACTTCTCTGACCCGCCTGCAGCGGGTGTTGCCCCCAGGGCGGCAGGTGGGTGGTCCCATCCGGGGCCCATGCTCCCCGGCCAGATCCAGCTTGAGGTCACTGGGACCCTGTCCAAATGGCAGAACCCATTTCCTGAAGCCACGCAGGGGCCTCTTCCTCAGGAGAGCGCTCCCTGGCCCCCCGCCCCGTCGCTCCTGCCCCTGGGATCCCAGGCCCAGGCCCCTGCTGGCACTTAACCCCTGGGGCAGGCTCTGCCTCGGGGACCCAGGCTAAGACACTTGGCGACCAGATGCCTCCAGACACAGTCACACCTGGACTTACGTTCTCGTCTCCCACTCACTCATCTCTCCCGCTCCCTCCTCGGCCTCACCTCCGCCCATGACTGCACCATGTCCTAGACGCTGATGGCCTCAAACTGTCCCAAAAAACATAACAAGTGAAAGCAAGCAAACAAGACGGGATGGCCGTGTTTGGTTCTGACCGGACCTGCCGGGTCCAGGTCTGCCCCACCCAATCAGCGCTCCAAGCCCGACACCTGGCCGGGAGGGGGCAGGTGAGCCTCCACGCCGGCCCTCCTGCCTGTGGCCGTTCAGGGCCCTGCTCACCACTTATGTCAGCTGCCTGACTGAGCATCCTCGTCCGGACTGAATCTGGGGAGACAGCCTTGGGTGGGGAGAGGGCCGGATGCAGAGAAAAGTGGCTGAAGATACGGAAGTCTCAGGGCCGTGGGCTGGGCCCTAAAGCCCCTGCCCTGCTCACACCTGAGCCGCCTGTGCCGCCTCCGCTCGGACCCGGCAGTGCCTCCCCGACCGGCCACTGATGGGCTTGGCAGAGCCTCTCGGCTACCTGACCTACAGCTTTCCGGGTTAATTTCATGTCCTTTGAGGGTTTTTTTTTTTTTTACGAAGTAACACAGGTTTGCTGGAGAATTTAGAAAGTGGGAAGAGCAAAGAAGAAACAAAGAACAGCAACAGCCTGTGTACTCAGAAGCAAGCCCTGGAGCGCTCTGATGGACAGCTTCCCGACGTTCCCGTGTCCTCACACGTCCTCGTGCGTAACAGCTGTGCCAAATGTGATGGCGTCTTAGTCTTCCTTGTCACTCAGGGCTGTGATGTGAACTTCCTTTTGCAATGCTGGAGCCCCTTTTTCTGTAAACTTGGAGATATAGACAGATACAGATGTCCGCGTACCTTCTAATACTCTTGCTATGAATCTTTTAGCTAAATTTTTACCCACATCCATATTTATTTCATTAGAGTGACGTTCTACAAGTGGGAGTCACGGGATGAAAGGATGCAACATTTTAAGTTCTATTTACATCTAGTTAAGTAGCCAAGAGTTTCTACTAGTTGACACCCGCTGATAACTTGCAACAGCCTTTGCCTCTTCATGTCAGCTTTCATCAGATAACTAGATAAAGCCGTGTGTTTCTCCGGTTTTTAGGGAGTGGGACGTTTTGTCATGTTTATCGGGCATTTCCCCTTCTGCATTCGCTGTTCACGTCCCTGCCTGTCCTGCTTCTGGAATGTTCACCCTGTGCTCTTTGAAAGCCCACTTACCTGTGAAGGAGACCAAGCCTTCACGAAACATGATGACTTCCCCCAGTCATCTGTCTTTTAACCTTATTTGTGTTTTTGAAGCACCAAAAGGTTCCACCCATTCCCCACTCCCCTAAACTGGGGCAGATACTGCCTTCAATACTTTTTCTTCTGAGGTTAAACTCTCTGTTCAATCCAGTGATTTTTTGCTAAGTCTTCACCCATGTGTGACTTCCTCCCCAACCAAGGTGTTTGTGTAATCATCTCCAGCCCCCTGGAGAGCTCCCTCACTCCGGGTTTCTCAGTCCACCCTCTGCCTGCCCTCTATTCTCAAGAGGATCCAAGATTCTGATTCCACCCCCATAGATCTTTTAGGCTGTCCCCGAAGTTCACATGAATGGAGTCATATAGTACAGAATCTTTTGTATCAGATGTTTTGATGATGTTTTTGGTGTTCATCCACCTGTATCAGTGGTTCATTCTTCTTTGCTTGCTCAGTGGTGCTCCCCTGTATGAACATGCTACAGCTGGGATTGATCTAGTTCTTGCTGATGGCACCTCAAATCTTAATCGCAACGTAGTCAAGTTTATCAACGTTTCCCTTTACAATGGCTGGTGGTATTCTATTCCATAACCGTACAGAGAACGTCCACAAACAGTTTGTTTTTTTTTTTAGTATTTCTATGGCTTTTTTTTTAACGCTTAAATTTTTATTCCATTTAATGAGGTAGGAATCCAGCTTTATTCTTTTTTCTCCAAATGATTAGCAAGGGTCCCACTGCACTGCTTTCCCTTTCAATAAAGGCTTGATAAGCTGCCTTTATTGTGTTTTAAATCCTTTTGGGGTGATGGTCAAAATTCTTAGTCATCAGCACGTGCACAGAGTGCACATACGGGCTGGATATCAGCCGGAGTTCTTCCGCTTGCTTGGGGCTGTTTTGTTACTTTCTATTATTTTCCATTGATCTCAGCCAGACCACACAGTTGTCATTACGGAGCCTAGATAACATGTTTTGTTTTCTGGAAGCACAATTTCTCCCTCATTACTTTTCTCTTTGACTGTTCTCAGATGTTTATCTTTCCAGACGAACTATTCAAACATTTTGTCAATTCCCTTGGCTTTCCATTGGGATTTTGTGTTACTTTTAGGTATTTAAAATGTTCCTTTGCTAATGCGGATTGGTAATTTTGCATCATATTTTTCTAATGCTTATAAAAGGCTTAGCGCAATGCCCACCACAAAGAAAATGTTCAATAAATATTAACATTTATAATTACTGATTGAATGGTGTTAGTATATCTGAAAATTAGTTTTTTTTTAATTTTTAATTTTCACTTTATAATTGGCCACTTCACGGAACTTCTAGATTTGTAACTTAATTTTATTCGAGTCTTCGGGGCTATTTTTATTTCTGATGGAAACACGTGTTTCCTATTAGGACGGGGATTCATTTTCTTTCTGAAGCAAAACCCTTTGTTGGGACCTTACAGCACCTCTGTACAAAGCCTCAAGCAGATGGTGTCGGGGCTGTCACGGCCCCGCTGCCCTCAGCCACAGCGTTAGAGACCCCCCTTTTCCATGCAGACTCCGGTCATACCGAGTTCTCCTTGCTGGCAGTGAGCAGGTCTCCAGCAGACAGCCCCTCAGAGGCCTGCAGACAGACACAGCCACCCAGGCCCCCACGTTCCTCTTCTTCAGAAGAGGAAACTGGGGTTCTCCTCCTGGGGTCGACAATCACCAGGTGCCTCACCCTCCTGGAAGGGCTCCCAGGACTCCGGTGGAGACCCACCTGGCACGTGGTGATAGGCCTACTCGTCTCTCTGGGTGGAATCCCACCTTTGCATCACACCGCCAGCCTAGGACCGCATCCCAGAACTCCTCCCTGCAACTCTTCTTCCGCGTCCCTCTCATTTCATGCTTGTTCGTTTTCCTAGATTCTTATGCATTTCCCCTGCATTTTCTCCTCATTGCTGTGCACTTTGAATAATCTGTGAAGTAACTTTATACCTTAATTTTTTCATCCAAATGTTTGTCAGCCACTGATCATGCTTCACTTCCCATGAAAACCTGGTAAGTGCACCATTTCCATCATTGGCCATATCACTAGTGGTCATTTTCTTCATCTATGTCTTTGCTTTAAAATTCTGCAATTCACCATTCATTTGCTTCAAAGTTAAAACTATCTTAGGTAAGGCATTTCTACTTAGAATGCCCAAGGTTTTCTACCCATTAGTATTTCAAGATATTTTACGTATTGCCAAACTGTGCATTTTCATTTTGAAAATTGTATTTTTACCCACATAGCTACATTTTTTTCCTCGGAGAATCACGGATCAAGAATGATATTAAAACTAATCTCTGCTCATTTCTGAAAGGAAAGGTCCTGAAAATAAGCAATCAAACACCACTGCCAGCACTTCACAGGCCGACTTCAGCACAGAAACTCCATCAGGTTTCAGCTCTGTTTGCCTCTAAGACTATTCTAAGACCGATAATTAATCAGACCTATTTTCTGATTTGATTTTAAGTTCTGGAGTTAAAAAAACTCAAAAATTCCTCATTACAAAACAAATAAAAGATTATATCACAAAGCTGTGATTTTGATTAGAACAGAAGGCTTTTACTTTTCTCTTCTGAAAAAGCATCTGGGCCGTAAAACTTGCAAAAACTCAAGTTTAAGACGATCAGTGATGAAGGTTTATCAGGGCCTTTTTTAATCCACGTTACAATGAGAAGAGGGTGTCAGCTCAGATGCTCCCTTAACGGAGCGATTTCTGATAATCTCGTCACTTCTGCTACTTTCGCCAAGTTTTCTTCTTCCATCACCAAGCTCTCAAGACAGGGAACGTTCCTGTTCCACCAGACCTGCCGATACATCGTCAAGCGCGCTTCAGTACAGTTCTAGTCTGTGGGTTCGTTGGCCTGTCAAGTAAGAACGGTTTGGTATTTGAGGGAAAAAACACCCTTGGGTGCAGTTCTTAATAAGCTCGCCATACTCTGCTTTCTAGGAAAGAGGCTGCTTCAGCCAAGAGACAATATATTTAACAAAATTTGTCTATAAAATCTCGAGCTGTTTGAGCAGTGGTCACCATGCTAGGTTTTGAAGCAGGCCTGAGAGGCTTCAAAGTCTACGGCAAGGTATAAAGTTGCATGAAAGAGGATGAATTCTAGGTCCCTTTTAACGTAAAACACAGATTCCATGCAGCGCTTTTGCTAAAGGAACGGCTCTGTACACAACAGCGCCGAAGCCTGCCCCCCGCGCGCCTCGTTGCGGTCTCCGTCCTCCCGCGGCTTTCCGGAGCCAGCCCCGCGGCCCCGAGCGCGCGCCGTCGGAGCCCTTCTCACTCGGGCGCACACGCGACTCTCAAAACCCTGGGTGCGCCAGGCGGGAAGCTGTGACCCGGCCCGGGGGGGTGGCCGGAGCCCCCGCCGCGCCCTCCGGGTGTCCCAGGGCCTCCGGGGTGCACGACGGCTTCACTGAACAGTCCCCAAGACACCG